AATTTCTCGGAAAAATGGTTAAATGACAATTTACTTAATTATTATTTGATATAAAGCAGTCAAATTAACAGAAAAAAGCTTTTATTTATTGTTTTTTAACTAATACGGTTTGACGACCAGAATTCTATGTACGGAAAGTTAGCCAACCAAATAAAGCCACTTAGTTTCCTGCAGCTGGGCACATTTTATAGTCGAAAGGGCTAGTCTGTCAATTTTATGGCCGACAGAACGGGGATTGCAGCATTGACACCATAATATTTACTCCATTCCTTCAACACATGAAGAGTGTCCAGTTTCCCTACATTTCCTAATTTGTGACTCTGGCCTATTACAATACGATACTCTCCTTCACGCAACCTATGGCAAATTTTCCTAAGGGTAACCACAAAAAGGTCAATCATTTCTCCTCTCTTTCAATAAGTGAAGCAACCATATAATTTAATTGAACCACATTCTACGGTTCATTTGATAAAACACAACTCAACCACTACCTGACTACTGTGTTTGTTACCTAACGAAAAGTCGCCAAGCTTCAATTTTCTGTTAAGTTTCTTTCTTATAGTTTTGAAACCATGCAGGATGTAATTGGTTAAGAAACCGTATAGTTCTGTATTCATGGTTTTTTAACCATGCCAATTGAAAACGGTTTCGAAACAGTAAAAGTAAAAAAATTTCTCTACCGTAAATTTTACGGTTAATTCGTTGGACAGACATCTGCCGGTTATTATACCGTAATTTCAGAATGAAATTTCTAACAGTGTATATAGTTTTTTTTTTAACTAGTGGGCTGCCCCCCCCTGCTAGCTAACGCTCGCCAACCCCCGAAAATTGCTACGCAATGCTATATGGTTTGCTTCGCAAACCAAGCTCGCTTCGCTCACTACTAACTTAGGTACATTGCAAATGCACAAAATTCTAGGAATTCAAAACAATCATTCAAATCTATATAACAACGTTTTTTTAAAATAAAATTAAATCTTTTTAGTAAATACTAAGTCACTAAAATAAATTTGAATTCAAATAAATGACATGACAAATTTGGTATCGATATTATAGTTCAACATTGAATCAGTTTTCTTGAGAGTTTAAATGGAGACACCTACTTAAACTTGGAAATTTGAGTGTTTTTCTAATTCTAGTCTCGAATTTCTTTTTCTAATCGTTTTGGGGAATTCTTTTTGTAATATACAATTCGTCAATAAGTTTGGTACATCTAATTTTTTAATGTATATGACATTTTAATTCATGTTTTATCAATAATAGTTTTTTTCATATCCTTCGTTAAACTGCCAACACAATTTCAAGTTTAAGTCTATCAATGTTAAACTCATTGTAAAGCCATTTTGTTCCACGCTGCTGGATACATAATGTTGCTAAGAAGGCTAATGGGACAATCTCAACAGTAAAAATTTCTAAGCTTTTTGGTGAATTACTCAGCAATTTAACATCACTAAGCTCTTTGGTGAATTACTCAACAGTTTAAAATTACTGAGCTTTGTGGTGAATTACTCAGCAATAAAATTGACTAAGCTTTTTGATGAATAACTCAGCAATAAAAATTACTGAGCTTTTTGGGGAATTACTCAGCAATAAAAATTACTGAGCTTTTTGGTGAATTAATCAGAAATAAAAATTACTAATCTTTTTGGTGAACACAGTAAATTTTAACATTTCCTGGTAGTTTTAATTATACTTTTGTTCTCCAGGTAACCCCATGCAATTTATTAAAATATCGCCAAAATAATATCATTAAATACTTTGTTTTTAATGGGTTTTAAATCTTTAAATAAATATTACATATATTTACTAAGAACTTCTATACATAGACAAATAATAATTTTAAAAGGCTAACAGTATCAAATTTTATTTTACTGGCCTAAAATTAATTTTAAAAAATCGTTAAATAGGAGCCAAATGTTCACGATACTATTTACTAAATATATTTTAGATATTGAAAATTATTGCTGAATTTTGTGATAAATATTTTAATAAACCTCTTAGTAAATCAGCCTATAAAAAAACATTACAGAAATTCAATAAATTAGATAACATATTGGTGAATAAATCATTTTTAACATCACAGTTATGACCTTTTTTATGACCAGTAGAAAAATTATTTTTACCAATAAAACATAATGTTTTTCAAACTTCTAACAGTAATGGTTATTAATACTATTCTTATAAAAAAATTTCTTTGAAGTTGGCGTTCGTGTTATCTATATGAAAAAGTAAGTTCAGCAATAATGACGAAAAAGAGTTAGAAGACATAAAAACCCTTAATTTATTCTTAGGACTTAAAGATGGTTAGAAGTCTTTTCGGATTTTGTGGAAACCGCGGCAGATGTTTGACTTCGAATAAATGTTAGTTTGAAATGTCTTTCTAATATTGACTTAGAAATGATTACAAATCCTTCTTTTATTCTGTTGGCTTAGGTGGAAGGTTTGGTGCGGTTTCTTTCGTTCTATCATATTGAGTTACTTTTAGAAAGAGGAACATGTTAAATTGAATTAAGTAGCTTGGCCTTGAAGAACCTCGTTTTTTTTATATTTTTCTTTTGGAAAATAAAAAGAATTTTTAGAAAAAACAGAAAAAAATGCTAAAAGGCGCTTTTACATTTTTAAGAATTTAGGGAATCAGGTCGAAGGTAGTAGGTAATCAGTTGTTTTTTTTTTTCCTTTTAAGTTCCTCTCAGTAATGAAATAATGTAATAAACTTTTTTGTAAATTTCATTTAACTTGAAAACTTTTAAATGTTGTGTAGAAAATTTATTATGTTGTCACCGCTATTAGAGAAATTACAATGGTTTTTTAGCCACGATACGAAGCGTATTATATTTAATATGAATAAGCACTTTATGTAAGGGATACTTAATTTCTAAGTTTATATACCATTAAACATGAGGCAAAAAGTTAAAATCATTGTTTCAAAAGCATCTCATTAATAAAACAATGTCGAAACTTTCAGATATTTTTAAGTGGTTTATTCTTGTTAATGTAATACTGTGTTAATATATATATATATATATATATACATNTTTTTTTTTTTTTGTCGTATGCCTGTTTAGGCAGTGGGGGTGCGATTGTTCCTGTTCTTCAGTGGCGCCATCTATGGCCAGGAATTCGCCATTATTCTACCACGCCATTCACACAACCACAACCCGTGTATAGGGCGGGTCTCATTCACACACAAAGGAGAAAGGACATAGAACACACAGAGGGAGAAAGAAACATCCATGCCTTGCCTGGGATTCGAACCCAGGTCCTTTCTGATGCAATGACAGTTCCCTGCCCCCTACACAGGCCGGTCGGCGTTAATATTTTTGCTTACTATTTAAAAGCATATATTTCCTAATTTAACTTATTTATTTTAATTGAGGAAGTGATATTTTTGTTGTATAAATGTAAAGTAATCCTAGAATTGTTTTTCAGTAATAATGTACTATTATATTTTATTAATAAATACAAAAACTTTAAAAATAATGGAAGTGTGAAGAAAAAAAAACTACTTAAGTGCTGCTTTATTTTCCTTTTAGATTTTTCTTAAAATACTTCAATACTTCTAAGAAATAAACATTGTGTACTTAATCGCTTTGGTTTTAGCATTGATTTAACTTTTTAACTCGAAAACTGGAAGTGAAAGCAATTGTATGATTTTTAACCGAAATTCAGATAATCAAGAAATTATTCATTTAATTAACATAAAAAAATTTATGATATCATAATGGGTAAATCATAGTTATAAATCCTTCACATATATTTGTAAAATTTTTTAATAAAAATAATATTTTTCTAACGATTATTTTTTAGGATTTTACACTTAGCTTGAAATCGAGCTTAAACAAAAAATACAAAAATAAAGAGAAAAATAAATATTTAGAATGAAACTTCAATTCGCATTTTTTTTTAATTATGCCATTTCTTTTCACAATGAAAACGGTTTTATTTATTTTGTACTCGGTTTATGCCGTAAGGTGAGTTTCGTCGAGTCAATATTGATTATTCTTATGATTTCCAGTTCATAATTTAATTTAAGGAAGTATTTTCGATCAGATATTAGTGTCAAATCGTATAAGTGAAGGATGATGTTAAACATAACCCATTTCTGTCAAAATTAAGTCATAAATAATATGTTAACGTAAATTGAGACCGGAAACTATTTCTTGATATACCTCCCTTAAATAAAGTAATCTATTTTAATCAAACAGCAAGAAAATAGTTTTATGGAGTTAAGGTAAACTGATATCTTTCTTTTCGTATTCTAAGAATATTTTCAAGTAGTCTAGGAAATATATTGAATGTTAAACAACACGGTAAAGAGGCCAAGAAATGTTTAGAAGCTCAATTATTTGATGCATAATTGAATGCAGTTTCTACAACAAACTAATTTTTTTTTTCTGAAGATTGAAGAAAAAAATTTCTGTATCAAAAGTAACTTTCAAAGTTGTGTGTGTGTTTTTATTATGCTGGTAATTAAGTTTGCATTTTGCTCAATGTAGTATTTTCTGGTTCCTTAATTAACGTACCGATAATTAGATTAGTATAAGAGTTGTGTTAGTGTCAAAAATACAGTGACGATACCACTATTTAGTGTTATATAGAAAGAGGAGAGGACGCCCGGTGGCCCGGCATGGGAGCGCAAAGCGCTGCCATGCCACAGGTCCTGGGTTCAATCCTCGGACCGGACGAGGTTGATTCAGCCTTTCATCCCTTCAGTGGGTCGATAAATGAGTACCAAGCATGCTTGGAAACTAAACACTGGGGGTTCCGCGTTAGGCTGACCACCTTACCGGAACATCTCCTCCTGCACCCCAGAACCCAAGGTCAAGAAAACTGAGATGGGCACAGTAGGCCTTGGCCCTCTATGGGCTGTCACGGAATTACAGAATGCGTGCATCTAATTCATCAGTTAATATGATAGCATTGATAGTGAATGTAAAGTTGCGAGCAGGATGTGTCCAGAATGGAGCAATGTGAAATAATACGCATTTTAGTGGCACAAAGCATTTTAATAGTTGCTTTATTAAGGCAAAATGCTGCACAGATTCCACGAATCATAAACCTTAGATTACAACCGAATTTATGAATAAACTGCATTCTTTCAACAGCTGCAATTGCTTCAGAGTTCCCGGATATTTCTTTCCTTGACTTTTAGTAGATCTGGTATTGATCTACGCCATTCTCGGAAATTTTTACACATCTGAAAGGTATATAATGACATAATTAAAGCTTAATAATTTAAAAATTATTTTCACTTGTTATTATTGTAAGCAAAAAACGCTTTTAAAAGCTCATCACATAAAAATAAGAAATTAATTCTTCGATATTCAGTACCATGTAGCATGATTCCATTGCTCGAGACCAACTAACAATACTCAAAATTTACTGCAATCAATTACTTAATAAAAGCCTTCACTTATATAATCCATTAAAACAGGTCCCGCAGTAGACAAGGCTCGGTAGACTCGTTGAGACACGGTTCCCAGTAGAACACCGAAGTAAAAAATTACTGTCAAAAGTCGAAGTCGAAAATTACCGCGGCCATTTAGCGAGTGGGTAGCCACTTTTCTCAGCCTGTGTAGGGACCTATGGTGTGCGGTATTGGCCCGCGTTAAACTATTCTATCGTAAAATGTACGACTTCACTCACAGTTCTTTGAGCTACCACTAACTAAAGCTGCACCAATATCAATAGTACCTATTACCAAATTTAATTAAGTATCATTGGTGTTACTAACAGTATAAACTTTCACGGTCTCTCGTAACGAATAAGTAACTTAACTTAATTTTGTTTTTATGTACAGTGCACAAAATAAGAAACGGACCATCTCGAAAAATTTATGATCTAATGATCGGATCTTCGCATTCTAAGACTCAATCTTAATGGTTCGAGCTGGTGACTTCAAATTTGATAATTAATTAGTGCAGACAATACTTTAAGCTGCGAAATCAGACACAAAAACGTACTTTATCTGAATAAGCATACCCTTCTGGATACTCAGATTCGGATATTTGACCCTCAAAATATAGGGTGCAGCCGCAATCTAGGAAATGTGGTCCCTTTAATTTGGTCAGAAGAGAGGTTCAAAGTTTGGACCCTTAATGTTAATGTTATATTTTGCACATTTCTTCATATCTCGAGAACATTTTAACTGAATCGAAAACTTTCAACATGCAATTATCATGCCATTGTCACTGTAAGCTGTACGCATGCAATTATCACTGTTGTGTTTTGAATATATAAAATAAAGAAAAAAACACAATCGTCTACATCTGAATATATAAAAATGAGTCTTGATAAACCATTGGGAAAAAATTTATAATTCAAACGTCTCTCTTAATAAAAATTCTTGAGCGAATTTCAGAATCTGGGCAGAAAAATGTTTCTTGTTCCCACTATTCACAAATTCAAGAAAGATAAAACAATGGATTTTCAGTTATAAAAGAGATATACTGAAAACAAACAAGCTTTTCATTTTTTATTACCACTTTTAAAATTAAATTTACTAAACGAGACAAAAAAAATTAAAAATTGAACAAATAACGTTTAATAAAATATTGATTGCTCTTTAGAAATCCTCAAATTGCTTAATTATTAGGAAAATTTTCTTTATTTCTACCTTTATTGCTTATAGTGTGAGTAGTAAATAAATCCAAAGATAAAATATTTTAAAATCATCATTTCAATTTATACAGGATGCTGACTTATAATCCCTTTCAATACATTGTTTTAATCCTTGTCAGAAATAAAGTCAGAAAGTATACTATTTAGAATGATATGCATCAAATTTTAATAATATTTTTTGACAAATTATAATGACTCATTCTCTTATTAATATCATTCAAAGATATAATTTTATTATTTTATTAATACTTTTTCATTCATTTATAATAATAATTTTGTATATGATATAATACACATACTATTATTTTAATGTATATTAAACACATTATATATTAAATACGGATTATACTATACAAGTGTAGAATAATATATTTTATATATTATATACGGAATTATTACATTATAATAATTCTGTATAGCAAATTGTTTTAATTTTAAATATTTATTTTACGTCTTCCTCTGCAGTTAAACAAGAGGAAACTTTTATTGAAATCATTTATAATCTTCACATATTTTTTAAATTAGCTTTTGTTCTCATTTTAATTAACAAAATATTTTCCTAGATCAAATGGCAAATGAATGAAATTGAAACCATTAGAATATTCAATTCTTTAAAGAAAGAGTAAAAATGTTTAATTTTAATTGTCCTAGAACAGCAGAAATTTAAGAAGAATATAATGAATCGAAAACAAGACTCAATCATTGGAAATAAGAGCAGTTTTTAAACGATAAAGTAAAATCAAACATTTCTTCTTCAGAGATTTTAAAAGTGTCGAAAAATATAATAACTTTGCGCTTAATTATTGTCATTTATTCAAATGAGCAAAAATAATTCAAACATTTACAGACTCGGTGATTACTTTGGAAATGATAGCCATTTAAAAGGAATGAAAAATATTTTAAAATAGAATATCATTTTAATTATAACAATTGAGAAATAATGAAAAGATAACATAATTATGAAAGTAAAAAGGAAATTTAAAATTGCTGAAATTATTTTCTAATGAAGTTTATCACATATTTCTGAAGTAGCAAAATATCTGACGTCAGTTAAAATTAAAGAAACCATTCTTAAAATAATTATCTAAAACTCATGCAAGTTGGAGAGATCTAACTTACTTTTATTAGCGAATATATTATTGAAAAAAACTTTTTTAACACTAAATACTTTATCCTTAACGCCATTTTTCATTTTCGCTTTCTATAGTCTCTTTAAAATTTATTTGATTAGTTTCAAACATTTTGAAAACTCTCATCTAAAATATAATTTGTAGTATTTTAATGATAAAATGTGAGTTTTAGATTTCATTCAATTTACAGCTACTTTTTAAAAAGCAAAATTTTAAAACACACGTAAATTTTATCAATAATAATTAAATACAACAATTAATTAAATGGACCCTGATAAAAGTGTTGAAGTTAATATTAAAAAACAGAGATACGTTATATTATACCAAGCAAACTTATAGTTTATGGAACATATTTTTATTAATCATTTAGAGAAAAGATTTAATTATGTATAATATTGTGAAAACAGCAACACATGTTTTTGTTTATTATATGTATCATTTTATAGAAATGTTTTTAATGCATTTCTGTTTTATTCAGAATAAAGAAGCATATTTTATGCCACAAAAGTTTGCTTATTCTAATCTGCGAAAACTATTGTGTAATATCTCTGCGAATTTGATGTTCAACAACCCTAAAAGTTGTGAGAACTAATACTTTTTTTCCAATTCTTTGCCAAATTCGGCTTTTGCATTCAATATAACTGGCATATAGATCTCTAAGCACTGAAATGCGAAATTTCACATCCGAAAACCCCAATGTTGGTGTGTTTTGATTTCGTCTGTAATTCTTTACCATCCATAACGATTTGGTGAGCATTTTCAGTTGTCTTTAATGTTGTTTTTCCTCTCCGGAAACTAAAGTTCACTGATAAAAGGACGTATATATGTTTGAAGTTGGGTAATAAGAATGTTTATATTTGAATTTTCAAGCCTCTGTAAACTGTATTAAATAATTTTATAAAGTATAATTTCTATCCAGCCCTACTCTGTTAAGCCTAGTTCAAATCCATCTTCATATTCTTTTTGCCACGCGTATGCTTGATTTTTAAACTAATTTTATTTTAAAAATTAATGTATGTATGCAACCTAAATTACCGATTCTTACTCTATAATGTTTCGTAAAAAAACTTTACTGATTCTTAAATGTATTATATCTAATTATTATATCTATGTATTATATCCTACTCTGTTAAGCCTAGTTCAAATTCATTTTGATATTCTTTCTGCTACGCGTATGCCTGATTTTTAAACTAATTTTATTTTAAAAATTAGTATATGTATGCAACCTAAATTACTGATTCTTACTTTATAATGTGTCGTAAAAGAAACTTTACTGATTCTAAAATGTATTATATCTAATTATTATATCTATGTATTATATCCTACTCTGTTAAGCCTAGTTCAAATTCATCTTGATATTCCTCCTGCTACGTGTATACTTGATTTTTAAACTAATTTTATTTTAAAAATTAGTGTATGTATGCAAGCTAAATTACTGATTCTTACTTTAAAATGTTTCGTAAAAGAAATTTTACTGATTCCTAAATGCATTATATCTAACTGCTATTATAAATTTTACTAAATAACAAATATGGTGATTGGGGGTGATTACTTTGCACCAAGTAATGTAAAAGAAAATTCAAGGTATTTCACAGCACAAGGATCTTTACTTGGGTTGTGGTGAAATGGAGCACCACTTTACTGTAAAGTAGTTACCCACATTTTTAGTATAAGATACAGGTATATTCTTTACAGTGTGGTACAATTGCCTTGCGTGCTTTTAATAAGCCTAAAGGGTTTGCCGAAAGAAAACTGAAAATAATATAAATAACATGTCTTTTTTCGTTCTTAATAATTTGACACTAAGATACTCAAAAATCTCATTATGATGAAAATAGGAATCATACTCTCAAAAATAGCGAATCATGCTCACTGAAAGCAGAAAATGATGTATGCCTGTTTTCAAAATTGTATTGTTTTTGAAACATTTTTAGTATTGTTTCACAAAAGTGTTTACTCTTGCATAAAAAGTCTGTACTTAAATTAAACTGCTGTAAAAAATTCGGAATCTGAAGTTAATATTTAAATAAGTCATGTAAAGTCAAAAAGTTATGCATTAATACCTACTCGAGGACATCAAAATCACCTAGATACATTAATCCAACCACCTACATCCATTGATTCAACCCTATACTATTAAATATTACTTATTTAACGCTGAAAACTTAAAATAAACTAATATGCAATTAACTTACCAATAAAACATACGATCAAAGCAAGTCTTCCTGAACTTTATTGAATTAAATCTTTCTCAGAAATTAATATAGTCCACTCGCTAATAAATTGCTGTTGGCGGACTACTATTACTGTAAGAAAACACTGGATGGGGTGTCAGAGTTACAGTTAATCCATCAATATAGTGATGAATGGATATTTTAGTTGTCTGTTAGAGTAATTGCGCCATAGATCACTTGACCAATGTGATGTCGGTTACAAATAGTAGATAGAATGTTGAGCGACGACAGTGGAAATCACTGCAACTTAATGAACTTCTCATTCAATAGGTTATTCGATTCTTTTAAAGAAATAAAACAAATGGAGGATAGTTCTGAGATAAATTTTAGCTTTCTAGATGATGATTAATTTTGAAGAATGCTTATAAAATAACTGTTACACACTTATAATAATACTTTAATTATTCTTAATATTTTTAATTAATTAATTAATTTTAGTTTGATTTTCGGTGATTAAGAAGTTCGTATAATTTTCATTACCCTTTCTTGCCACCTAGTAATCATAATGCTTTTAATTCTTTTTCTCCTTGAACACTTAAGTTTTCCTGCATTCAGTACTTTTTTGTAGCATTTTTTTTGTAAATTTTAGGTAAATAAAAAGTGTACGTAATTATATAAAATACTAACAAAAGAACAGTAAAAATATCAAGTCGCTATGGTACAAAGGTTATATGTTACTCTCTTTTTGTGAAAATCCCTGGTTCCGTACCTGGTGATGGCTTGAAACCTAGCTTCAGATCGATGAACACAGGCTTTTCTGAGCAATAATGTGCAATGCTAACAAATTTACATCATCATTTGGTTTGAATACTAAAAATAAAAACATTGAGATAATTCATAACACTAATAACAAAAAAATTATCTTAAATAAATAACTAAGAATCCAAAGAAATTTTCTCTTAGACAGTGACATTCCTTACAAATTGGGTTTGTAAAATAATGTAAAATAGGGTCAAGGCGCCGTCCATGGTAGCTATTGTTTCTGTAAACGTATTTGAGATCATTTACAGGCTTGAAAAGAAGATGAAAAAGAGAACTAGTAGTAAAACCATTTTAATTACAGCTGATTTAAAGAAGTGTAAATTTACCAATTATTATTCTTAATCTTGAATTATTCACTTATTCACATTTTCTCTGATCTCTATTACGAAGCAGTCATATATGAATGTGTCGCACCTGTTAAAAAATCTTGGCAGCCATGGATATTTTACTTTTTTTGGAGAAAAATTTTTTTTAATTAAAAGATTTTTTTACCAGTTTTTGATTTTTGCTGTCTTGGTGAACATAAACTTTCAGTTTTGAGCATAAGTCCAAATATTTAAAACGAGATCATCTGGTCGGGTCTATTTTTTATGTTCAAAAAAGGTTTATTTTGCAAAATGATCTCGTCAGGATGGATGATTTTCAATGGGCTGCTCATCAAGATGAGCTTAATGAAATTCCTAACGCTCGACAAGACGAGGGTGAAAATTAGTGTCATTCCATTTAATATAATATTATTCCAAGAACTAAATTTTGAAGTGAAGGATTATTCAAAAATAATTATGTTGGAAAGTTATCTCGTGTTTATTATCGTACCACCAGTTCTCTGAGCCAAATGGAGGAATTAAACTAAACGAAGAGCTTAAAGACTAATTTAATGTACAGACAGTATTGGAAGAACCAGAATTGAATCTCTTAAAGTAGAAAGACAGCGGTCTTTACTACCTTTGAAAAATTTTAACATAAGAAAATGGTTTAATCTTTTCAAAAATTTCTAAAATAATATAATATAATTTCTAATATAATAAAATAATATAATTTCTGTGCAAAAATTTCTAAAATAATTAATCATATGATGTAATGGCAAGTCTATAAACACAGTTTTTCTTCTTCAGATTTAAAAATGTAATCAAAAGTAGGAAATGGTTTTCTTTTCAGCTTTTTTGAGAAGGAATAATTAGAACTGGAGCCCTTTTAGCAAACAGTGATTCAAGTGTTTCTCCCTGCCCCTCCTTACCACAATTCCAAAGTTGGAGAAGTTGGTTGCAGAAACAGCCATCGAGTATACAGTTGTGTGTGCACCCCATCAAAACGAACAACATGTGTATGCGGTATCATGAGACCGACTTATCTCCATCGGCAAGCTCTATCTATATTACAACCAAAATTCTAATTTCTGACAAATTTTCCAGAATACTGATATTTATATTATTTAAATCGGAGCTACAAGCAGTTTGTTGGGTAAGGATAGATGAGGGTATCTAGCTGCAATTATTTATACGTGATAAGTCGCTTGATTAGCATCACTGCTTAAATAATTAAGAACTTGCAGTTGTACCTGATTTGTGCTAAATTTCAAATTCTTGGGGAAGCATTACTGTTCTCTTAAGGGTATTTATCTTGCACTTTGCGCATTAAAAGTCGTTTTTAACGCAAGCGTATTTTTTAACACAAAAATTACCATTTCAACCTAACTAAATTTAGTGGTAACTTTAGAGTTGTTGTTGTTTCTAATGCCATCTGCCAATATCAGCAAGCCTGCTTGGTGAAACCGAGTGAATTTAAGAGAAATGGTGCGCTTTTTGTTTTGCAGACGCGCCATCTATGGACACGAATACGACTTCATCCACACTCACAAGTCACAGTTCATTTCAAAGGGTGGACCTATTCATTCACCCACAGATCGTAATTTTGACCTGAACCAGAGAGTGATCAATTCAGCACCCCAGAGGTATTTATTTGATATGGGAACTTGGAGGGCTTTGTGATCCGACAAATTTGACGTGCACCAGTCACCATTTACTGCACGAGGAGTTTTCAGCTTGCGGGGATCAAACTCACGACCTCTTGGACATGGGCCCAATGCCCTACCAATTAGTCTAACCCGGCCGGTTTGAGGATTCAAAATTTTGAGGCAATACTTCTGATAGATGATATTATTTGATTTAAAAAAAATAAAAACTTGTATCTGTAATGTAGATTGGCTCTTTTGCCGGGTATTAAAATTTTGCCCTGGAAAAAAAAAGTTGTAAAAAGAAGAGGTATCGTAGTGTGTAGTGCTGATAAAATTGTTATCATCTTGTGGTGCATCTCAAATTTGTGGTTCCTTAAACCTCATGACTCTTTTAGATGATAACTGGATGTCGAAGGAAAACTTTAATTTTTAAAAATTCTGGAATAAAGTTTAATAGTAACTATTAGTAGTAAATATTATTAACGTCAAAATAATCTTTCATTGAATCCCAATGTTCTATTGATAAATATATTAGAAATATATTCCAATATTCTACATTAGTGACCTATGTGAAATCTAACAGTATTTCACCATATTATTTTTCAAATCTGTTGTTAATTTTTTATAAGGAGTAGAAACTCATATATATGAAAAATCACTATATAAACATCATTGAAAAATTCCTAGCCTTCCATCTTGCCAAATATTTTCATGAACTGAATAATATAAAACACCATGAAATTCTGATGATCTACCATGAATCTATGCTGTACTTCTATTGAATAAACTTTGACCATATTTTAAAATTTTATCTATGCAATTAGTCTATAAATGTCTTCCTTGGTATCGAACAAATGTTCTAGTGTTGAACAAATTAAACGTCAAACGCTCGGGGATTTAAGTTATGATTATGAGTATTTTTTCCGCTTCTTTTATCAAAAGTCTATTGTATAAGTTAACAAAAACCTTACCTTAACTAATTTATGGTTTGAAACATTGTATACAATATGTTACTGTTTGTTTCGTCCTATAAAATGATGAAAAAGAACAAGATTATTGTTACAGCAGCATTAACAGCAAGTTGACATTAAACCTTGATTCTCATCTTCTATTTCTACATCAAAGAATACATTCTTAGAAAAATGATATAATGTTTGCAATTTTCAGAATTCTAACATAAATAACTTTATGCTTCTAAATAATATCTTTCTATTCAACGCTATTCTTCATTTCCTCCCATAAAATTAAGCCAAAAAGAAGAGGAAAACATAATAAATCTTGCATAGAAATACAAGAAGTGAATGTTGGTGTATTCCTTTGGATAAGAGAATGAAATACGATTACACATCTGAACGTAGATCAAACCACAGCGACACAAACCACTATAATTTCACTTAGTCGTAAATATTGTCCTTTCTTTTATTTGTTGACTACGTTTTTGAGAAAAAAAATTTACAAAAAGATTGCACATAAATTTTTCTTAGAAATGTTACGTCTTTGAGACAATGTTCAGAGAAAAATATACGTTGGTACATTTTCCGGATTCAGGAGTCATTCGTCATTAGAATAGTTTCTCTTTCGAATGGATTGGTTGAAGATTTTTAGTTGCTTCAAAGATAAATTTCCATTTGTGGGACAGGAGCCAGATTTGTTCCAATTGTTTATATGTATGCCTTTTATTACATTATGCTTAGTTACAAATGTTTGTACAACAGACGCACATAATAACAGATAAATGAGAAATGAAGTTACTTTTGAAACAAATGTTATACGTTGTATAAATCCATACTGAAAGATGTAGTTAATTTTTTATTTTGCAATAAGTTTTTTGGAGTATGATCATTATTTAAAAACTTCAGTCAGTTGAAAAATAACTACTTTTTTGTAAGACATGAGATTTCCCCCCCCCCAAATGTTTATAAATTATATTTCAGGTATCCATACATTTTAATTCTACATTCCTACCTGTCCCTTTCGAGCCAGCTGACTTTTAAGGCATCCAAATACCTCTGCTCTGAACCAGGCCATTTTGTTTTGCTTTGCACAGATGTTGGTGCATGCATCTTTTCTAAATAAGTCTCGGCCTTCCTCTTTTACGTTTACCATCGAATGCCCGCTCTCTGTGATCTATAATGTGATTTAATGTATTTTGCCTCAGATACCAAACACCATAAGAAACGCTTAGGTTTGAGAACTTTTCCTTTTGAAGACTTGCAAAATGAAAAAGAAAGGTTTAAAGAATCACTAAACATTGTTTTTGTAATTTATAAACGGTCAAAATAGAATTAACCTTAACAATTGTCTGTGTTTCAAAAACACAATGTGTTATGCTAGGCTTTTCGTCAGGTAATAGACATTGGAGATTCATAAGGTGGATTTTAATCTGGTGATGTCATTTATCGGGAGAGATGGAAAATTCTAGACTTTTTGTGTTAAGTTTTGTGTTTTGTGTCTTGTTGCAACCATTTAAGCATGAATGAGAATTTCATATTCCACTAGTCCAGGGTGTATCAATGAAGGGGTGAAGGGCAATGGAAACACTTCCAGTGTTGAAAGAATGAAAGGCATATTGTGATGTCAACGCTGGGAATCGAACCCCCGTTCAAGCTGTCATGATAATGAAGGATTAGCTTTCTTGGTTCTAGTATTTACCTTACTGCAAAGAATAAAGTGGCTCCATAAGTTGGCAGCAAAAAATTTGTTGGTTAAACCGGTCTAGTAGAAAACAGTCAAGAAATGAATATTCCCTCAGTTAACAGTCTGAATACCTCCATTTTTATGGTTATTGAACTATTATGGGTGAGTATAGTAAAATTAAAATTAAATTAATTGTTATTTTACCATTTCTTCCAAGAAATTTATAACAGTCTGCCCTATAAAATTTTAATGAGGAAAAGAATAGCAAAAGTCTTTAAATAGCCAAGCAATAAATATTCAATTCCTAAGATAAATTTTTTTTATATAAACAATAAAAATTATAAATTTATGACTGAATTTAATTTGGGAGCATTCTATGACCTCTACGAGTCCTAATGTCTGCTCAGTAGGCAAACGTCCTCCCAGGCTTATAAGATTAAACAATTTATCATACAATTATAAATTCCATTTATCTAGGGAAGATTTCATACAGAAAATAATCTGTTGTCATTTCTTTGTTAATTTCCATTGATAGAATTATTTTGAATTTCAAGATATTAATTATTTGCTTAAAATTAATATGTGTAATTT